GATCACGTTGCTTGCAGTGCGGCTCCCGTGCCTTCATTGTGGCAGTTTACAGGCTTTGATCTGGTTGGGCATCGCAAGCGCTCAGAGCCCCTCGTGTTGGCCGTGCTGTCGCCGCAGTGATCCTAGCTCTGCATCCCAGCTTCAATACGGAACCTTGCTTTGCAGGCTTTGCAACTGCACGTCAAGTGATCTCGCATCACTTTCACGAGTTCCTGTCCAGCAGCTTGCGTCTAGGACCCAGCCTTGCGGATCAGGGCAGCGCCAAGTTTCATAATGGGGTCAGCCTCCTTGCTAGGGACGGTGCCACACTTTCGTTGGCACCGTCCCATCACACGGAGGGCACACCGTGTAGTGCTGCCACATCGCAGGGGGCCATGGCTGGAGGTGGCCCCTGGGAATGTGGCAGTAGTGTGAGAGTCTTTGCTTCGTGCCGGCGTCCCTTGCTTAGTACCCTCATGAGACATCATGTCGAGAACCGCTTTGGGTCTGTGAAGTGGGCTGTCTTGCCAAGTGTGCTTCCAACCCTCGCTAGCTTGCCCCTGCTGGCTTGGGGGGGCGGGCCCATGGAGATTCAGGTGATGCCGGGTGCTTGCTCTCTGCCTTGCGTAGGGCCATGACGTTTTCGGAGCCCTATGCCCCGTTTGCGTCTTAACCCTTCACGGGGTGGAGACAATGCGGGTGCTCGTCTTTCTGCCAAGGGGCGACTCTCACTCACTTCATAATGGGGTACCATTAGGTGTTTCTTTTGGTGTTTGTTGGTCTTGTAGGAAGCCCAAAGTGCTTCAAGACATTCTGTAAAACACGAAGGACAACCAAGAACAGCTAACTAGGAAACTTAAGTCAAGATGCTTCGTAAATCAACACGCGCCACGGCATGTATCAAGCTATTCACAGAACATCAGAATTCAGCACTGGAGCCTCTTCGCTGCTCTACTCGTGGACCATGCAGCAAAACGTTACCTAAAACAGGACTACCTAATCGGTCGTTGAGAAAGTGCGGCAGTTCGGGATGTCGTAGCCTTTGCGACCGGGGTGCCACGGCCGAGTTCTTCAAGGCAAGGCCCCCCTATAGAAGGGCTCCGAGGGGCCGAATTTCCCCCGAGCAGCTGAGTCCTGGGGCATGTAATGCACGTGTGATGCACCTGCAACTCGCACCCCAGGAGCTCCGCGAGCTCCGCGGGCTCCGCAGCTCGCTCGCGGGTGTCGTCGCGCCGTCCGCTGGGGTTCTCGGTTTATAGCCCCTCGTCATCGCCCTCTGCTCCGTGCCGCGTGGGCGCACATGCTTCTTCGCTGGTCTCGGCTTAGCCACTCGCCATCGCCCTCTGCTCCGTGCCGTGCCAATGCTCCGGCCACGTGGGCCCGCGGCCCAATGCTCGAACCTTTCGGAGGAAGTGGTGTCCACTTCGAGCCGGTGACCCAGTTTGCTTCTTCTCAAGTGTCTGTCTTCTTATTTAGCGTGCGCCGTATTGTGCCGTCACAAGATGATGCAAGCTGTTCCCCTTTGCAGTGTCACGTCCCCTTCGTCTGTGAGCGAGCTCTCTTCGAGCTCCAAACCTTCCAACAGCGCACCGTCTTTCCATAAACCCTAAACCCTAAAGCATCCTAAAGCCCTAAGGCCCTAAACCCTGAACTATCGAAAGCCCAAACCCTGCAGGCCGCTATGCCAGCTATGCCGGCCACGAAGCGCCCAGACTGTGTTCAAGCTCTTTTCAGGAGTGCGGCTCCTTATGCCACGTGCTGTGTTAGTCCGCAGGCAGACGCTTGCTGCTCTCGGTGGTCTTGCAGTAGGGGGTGCCGGCTCGTCACCTCAAAGTCGGGCCGTAAGCAACACCAGCTGATAACGGTTCACAATGTGCACACATTGCCGACCAACCGAGCTGTGACCCAATTCAGCTTGGAATGACAGCGCTCTTGCACACTCCCTGCGACATTCTGAGCTCTGCTTTTGTCGACTGGTTTGATCTGTGTCCTCACAATCACAACGTCTTCGAGACGTCACATGTCGAACCGTTGCCACTCTTGCCGGGTTTCAGGCTAAGCAGGTGCAAACCGGACGAGGAACCGGTCTGTGAACCACGCGCCTCCTGTGAGGCACGCGCCTCCAGCCATCACCATCAGGGGCTTCTTTTTGTGTCTCTTAGGCCTCGTTCGAAACCCAAAGTACTTCGAGGCATTCTTTGGAATCGCTGGTGGTCTGTTTAATAGAGGGTGTCTGTCCTTGCGTTTTCTGGCCTCAAGAATCGTGACATTAATCCCGAGACCTATTCGGTCCTTCGAACTTTGAAGCCCAGATCGGCACTTTACCATCGTTCCGACGCTTCGGGACGGTTCCGGACGGTTTGGGGCTGTTTCTGAACAGGGTTCTAACAGTTCCTGAGATTTGCATGATGGTTCCAGAGCCCCTGTTGGCGCTCACACACAAACAACTTGCCGGGCATTTCAAGGCATTCTGCAAAACAAAGCTACGAGCCGAACTGTCAAGCCATGACCGCTCGCTCTCGGTTGCGCCTTTGATCCTTCGATGATGCACAGGCTGCAGTATTTTATCCGGCTCATGGTGGTTCACAATTCCCAAACATGTCGCTCGCAGGGGTCAGGGCTTCAGGATTTTATCCCAGTTGAGTGGCTAAGCAAAAAGTTCTGCCTTTCGACCATCTTCTGCAACGGGGTCAGGCCCCGGGACTTTATCCAAATGAATTCCTTGGGCCCTCCATGCATGTCTACCCTCTATAGGATGCGCATGACGCGATTCACAATGCAGAGCTCAGGAGGTGGGCCACCGGCACTGCCTCGAGCCTGAAGTCTGAGTGCCGAGTTGTAGGTGGGCAGCGGGCAATGTTGAGGGTTGCACGTGTCCGGCAGACATCATGTTTCGCCCAAGGCTTCCGCAAAGGGAGCCGTCATCTAGATAACATAGATGTACAGCTTTGATTACCTCCATGCGGGGACTCCCCGAGTTTTCAGCCATGGTTTCGGAGTTCGGGTTTAGGGCCTGCAGTCCATGTTGTCTTATACAACTAGATATAGATTGCAAATCAACCCTTTCCAAGCCGACGAGTCGGGTTTTTCCTGCTGATTCCTCCAGCCCACGGGAATTCTAAACCTTTAACCCTCGCTCCGAATCAACGTGCATCGCAACCTTGCCAGCCATCCCCACCCCACACCTAATTAGCCCCTCTGCCCGGAAGCCCAGCGTGTCTTCAAAAAACGTGTTGATGGCTCCACAAGACCAGGATTTGATTTGTCGAGATAGGAGACTGCCCTCCAAAGCAAGGTTGGAAGTGTTGGGGCCAGCGAAGAGGCGGCCTGGACGTGATTATGTTACGTGCAGAAACGCTCTCGTGGCTGGCAGTTTTTAGAGGCCATCCCGTCGCAGCAGTGCTCCTACGTCTGCATCCGGGCGGCAATGCGCAGCTGTGCTTACCTGCGGCCCGAGTGGACGTGCAAAGCTTGTATAGGGTGCCTCAGCTTCCATACCATCCCTTGCCAGACTGCCACATGCCAGGACTGGCGAACCCTGTTATAACCCTGTTTGGCCAGAGCTTCTACGCTAAGTCTTAAACCGCAGCCTCAACTGGTTCTTCCAGGGCCTCCTTACGGGACCCCAACAGGAGGCTTCAGGTGGACGTAGGTAGGTTTACGTCCTTGCACCTAGTCGAGTTGGCAGGATACGTTTTCCTACACTTACCAGTTTGCGTCTCCAGCGCAAGTTAAACGGGAGTCTTCGTGTCTTGCCGTGTACGAAGTAGCTGCAGACTGTGGACCCAAGTATGGGATGCCGCAATTAGCGCCTTCGTGTCTTGTGGGGGTTTGGTGGCAATTGTATGTTACATTTGCTCCCCCCTTGCTCAGCATGGGAGGTAGCCTTGGCCTCAAGCAGTCCGAACCTGGGCCAAGATGCAGACGGATGCCCTTTCCTTACAAGTGATTATTGGGGACTGTTATGGGATCCGAAATTGTATTCCTGAAGCTCCATAAAGAAGGAAGTGGGCACCTGGATGAAAGTGGTGCACCAATCCTTAGGTTTCGGTGGTGGGGCAATGTTGCGGGGCCCAGACGGTCTTTGGATCAAGACACGAACCTGCAACTAATTGATATGCCCTTTCCAGGCCGACATGCATGACAACCTTGCCAGCCATCCCGATCCCACACCTAGCCCCTCTGCCAGCCCCTCTGCCGGCTTGCAGCAGCCAAGCCCAGCGTGTCTTCAACAAACGTGCTGATGGCTCCAAAGGAACAGGATTTCATTTGTCGGCATAGGCGACTGCCCTCCAAAGCAAGGTTGGAAATGTTGGGGCCAGCGAAGAGGCGGCCTGGACATGATTATGTTGCTTGCAGAAACGCTCCCGTGGCTGGGAGTCTAGAGGCCTGAACTGGATGGGCATGGAAGGCGTTCAGAGGACCTCGCCCGAGTGGATGTGCAAAGCTTGTACACTGCCACCATGCAGGGTGAAGGACTGGCGACGGAACACCTTCCGAGCCCCGTTTGGCGCCAGCCCGTCTACACGCTTAAGTCTTAAACCGTGCTCTAAACCAACTGGTTCTTCCAGGGCCTCCTTCAGGGACCCAGGAGGGTTCAGGTGGACGTAGCTTTACGTCCTTGCATCTAGTCGAGTTGGCAGGACACGTTTTCCTACACTTGCCAGTTTGCGTCTCCAGCGCAAGTTAAACGGGGGTCTTCGTGTCTTGCCGCGTACGAAGTAGCTGCAGACTGTGGACCCAAGTTTGGATCAACACACGAATCCGCAACTCATTGATATTGTGAACGCTGAAAAATTACGTTGAGGAGCGCTCGGCACACTGGACAACAACTCTATAGTGCAAGTCAGCCCATTTCCAGGCCGACATGCATAAACATCCCGTGCCTAAACCAACTGGTTCTTCCAGGGCCTCCTTAAGGGACCCCTTCAGGAGGGTTCAGGTGGACATAGCCTTGGCCTCAAGCATGTCGAACCAAGGACGATTTGGGAGAGGCCCCTTACAAGCGAGTAGAATCCAGGATGCAGGATCTTCTTCCTAAAGCTTCCCAGACAAAAGGACACCTCGATGAAAGGGGGTGTTGCAATCCTTTGAGCCATGTCGTGGTCTTCAGGTGCGAAGTTCGACTGACCGTGGAGGTGAGCCCTCGGCAGCCGTGGGACATCAGCCAAAGTGTAGGTTTGGCATGTCGCAGGCGATGCCAGGCGAGGCCGAGAAGGAGCAAGAGGAAAATCAGGCGCCTCTTCCAAGTTAGACCCATCAGCCGGGAGTGCCAGTCTTGCAGCGCCTTGCAGCGCCATGCAGCGCCTATCGAGTCTCTTCCGACTGTCCTCTCGAACGTCCTTCCAACTTCAAGCATGAGGAAGTGCCTTCCCAATGGAGCGAACCTCGTGGCCGTGCTCCGCCTCAGCGTCTTGCCCTTCTTGATGGCAGCACGGCCGGGCCATGGGCGCAGCTTCGAAAAAGTTTAGATAAAGTTTAGGCTTGTTGAGGGGTGAGGGTTCTTCTTAGCGTGCAGCGGGCCTGGGGGCCCCAGGCCCGGCTGCCCGATGCATTTTTTTTGGCCCCCTGTCCGTCATGTGACGCCCATTACCTGTTGTGTGAACCTTTGCCAACGTAGCGGTCGTGCCTGCGCTGGAAAACGATGCTTTCCGAAGAGGTTTGCGAGTTTTGCAGGGTTCCGGGTTTGGTGCTTTGAGGTGTAGGTTTGCTTTTGGGCTTTGAGGTTTGGAGGCTTTGAAGCTTGAAGCCTCAGGGTTCCGAACTGCCAGCCAATAGAAAGATCGCACCCGCAGCGAGTACCACAGTACCCCAACAGCATGCTACTCACACCACTTCCTGTTATTCGTGTTGTGTTTTGAACAGAGCATCCGTATTTACATCATAACGGTCATAGCGACGTTTTGGTTCTGACGGTTGCTCACGATCCGCATTACTCCTGATTTCTTTTATAGCATTGCGAGAGTAACGGCAACATGGACTGCAAGTGCAAGTACCGCTGCACCACCCTACTCCTGCCACCACCTCCTGTCATTCATAACATTTTGAAGTGGTCATCCATATTAACATCGCGATGACGTTCCGGTTCTGACGGTTGCTGTTGTGACGATCCGCATGTGGCTTAATGTCTGTTACATCAAACCGTGTGCACACAACACGCAAACGCCAACAGCAACAACAACAGCAACCCGAATGACCGCTGTCTGTTTAGATCTTATCTTGTTGCTAGCAGTGTGAGTTCGACAGTGGTGGCAAGCAGATCCCTTTATCACTACTGTTGCGAATAACATGTTCAGGAGCATGCCCAACCAGTGCATCTTCAGCAGTTTCAGGGAGTTCGGGTTCCAGGAAGAGCCGTCGACATCCTCATTGCAGATCGCATTGGTAAAATTCACCGACACTAGTCACTAGCACCATGTGGCATGATTCGAAGTTAACAATGTTTTCAATGTTGTTTTCACTTTGTCTGCTTTGCGAAAGCAAAGACATGCTCTAAAGCGAACTGTTTTTGCTGTTTGTTGCAGAAGACGTATCAATTGTTTGCTGAAAGCTTTACTTCTGTTTTCAGCGATATTTCACATTGTTTTCTTTGTTGGCTAGCTACCGCTCTAAAACTTCGTGTTTATCGCAGACCTTCAGTTGACATGAATTTTGTTTTCCATGATTTTTCATTCTATTGCTTCTGACCTCTCTAAAGCGAAGATGTGTGGCTTGCTTCTTTTTGTTGCTTGGAGAAGACGCCTTTGTTTTCAAAAGAAATTGGGATGTTTTTCTTCGATTTCCGCCTTCTAATGTTAAGACGTGCGGCTGCTTCCTGGGATACAATGACTGAGACTTTCATGCTTGACAGTTTGATGAGCATGTGACATGTCCAGTCCGTGCCCACATGTCCGACATCTTTTGCCCGGGGTTCTTGTTTTGGCACCCTAACCTTCGCCCCCGAGGTAGGCTTGACCCCGGCTGCCCTGCGTGTGCCCTGCACCCTAACCCGCAGGCCCCCCTTCCGCGTCCCGGCATTATCTTTCCGTCTGCGATCGCTCTTTCAAGCAGGGGTTCAGGTGGGACGGGTGGGCCGGACTGGGACTCTTTTGCTGACTTTCGTCGGGAACCTCAGAGTGAGTGAGTGGTAGGAGTGTAGGTAGGTTTCCGGTGGGAGTGCACGTAGGGGATTGCTGCAGTTTCCTCGCCCGCCCCGCCTGGTAGGATCCTGCTGCTCTTGTGCTGGGCAAGCAAGAAGAAGGCCGATCCTTTCGGGATTGTGGTTTGTTTTCGTATTTCGGGGGTTGGAGTTCTCTGGCCGTGTAAGTGCAGCAGTGTTTTGCGCTGTCCCATAACTAGACGGCCTGCATTCCCTACAACCCTTGTCCCGGGAGCCCCCGGGCCATCCCCGCCTCAGGCCTCTTCGATGGATCGCGATGCTGCTTCAAGCCGGCACCCTGAACAACGACACCGGTGGTTGTCGCCCATAGACCCATAGCATATCATACTCTGGCTCATCGGTTGAGCTTGCGGCCAACCTGTGCGAAGGATGGCTTGCCAAGTCGCAACTTGCTGTTCCTTTCTCGCTCCAGCGCGTCTGGTCTGTGTTCTTCTGGCAGCTAACTTGTACGCATCCCACGCTTCAATGAATCACCGCCTACACAGTTGATTCTCCTGCCGATTGTCAGGGCAAGGTGCAAGTCGGACGAGGAACCGTCCGTGAGCCACGCGTCTCCTAGGCGGTGCAGCGTCGTCCACAGTGTGGGCGGAGTGCGCCGCAATTCTGGTCTTTGTTGCGCTGCCGATTTGCGCGGACCTCAGGCTTCATGCATCATCTTTGAGCTCTGCTCCTGATCTCTGGTGCCCAATTCAGCTTGTAGTGACAGCGCTGTTGCGGAAGGGAGGTGCGAATCGAACAGACAACGGTCTGAGGGCCATGAGCCCCGGTGCAATGTCCTTCGTGGCCAGTCCAAGCGCCGTCGCAACCTGTGCGTACGGTTTACCACTCCTTTACCATGAGCACACTTCGCATCTTGTGTGCGTTGCAGCCTAGCTGCCCTTTGTGCTTGCCAGCTTTGTTCTCCAAATTCGAGCTCCACTCCCCAACTGTGGCCCAATTTGGCTTGTAATGACAGCGCCCTTGCATAGTCCCTGCACACAGCCTATGCAGTCGTTCAGGGTACAGATTTGGAGCCATGCCGGGGATAGGAGCAGCCAACATTCTGAGCGCCGGTGTTGACGAGCGGAGTGATCTCTGCCTTAGCACCGTGGCAGCAGCCGGGAATTCGTCGGGCAGTCTTTCCAGGCATCGCATGTTGGATGGAGTGGGAGCTGTGGCTCTGTGAGCCATCAGCTTCGCTGTCTCCAGGGACGAGTGGATCCCAGCGAAGCACCTCTCTCTGAACCACAAGCAGCAGCAGGTCTACTGTGCGGACAGCCGGTGGCACCTTCTGAGGACAAGTGCATGCAAAAGGCTTCCGTCCAGTGAGTCGTGGTCCTGTTGGCACAAACAGGTAAGTGGAACTTGTTCCGTGGGTTTGGGAGTTTGCCTGATTTGAAAGTTGCAAAGGTCTTCCTGGCACGACCCGTCGTAGCTTTGGCATTGATTTCCCAGGCAGACCGAAGCATGTGTGGAAGCCGGACAGCAAGCACTGCGATCGGCTGCGACTGTGCTCTCGTCACCGTGCTTCCGGCGCTTGGCTCCGCAGAGTTGCGCTTCTTGCAAATAGTGACCTAGCGACTCAAAAAGCACGAGGTGCCACAGCAATGTATTGCAGGTTTGCAGGGAGGCCATCAGTATCGAAACTGCACCAAAACTCGCCAAAGTTCAGACTCTTGCAGAAGCTTGTTGCGGGAAACCGTTCGGTGCGACCTGTGAACTCGCACTATTGTGTAGCTGAACTCACAACAGCGGCTTACAAGCCTAAGGTGCGCCCCTCCCCAGCCGGGCATCCAGGGGTTCCCCTCCTCTCCCCGCCCCACCCCAGCACACCCTCTGTGCCCGGGGCTGCATTGGCCGTGCAGCCTCCCCTGCCAGTGTCAGCTCATCAGTGTGTTGTGGAGTGTCTCGGCCACCGCTTGAAGCTCGGCAGGCAGGCGCAGGGCGCCGAACAGTCCCGCAGTTGTCGCAGAAGCCGAAGTACGTGCCTGCTCGCAGTAATTGTCTCTCAGTCCTTCCTGGGCTTTGGGAGCTTCTGTCTGTGAGATCTCTGCGAGCTCCAAGCCCTCTTTGTAAAAACACATCGCCTTTCCACAAGCACGGCTTGCTTAACCCTGGGCCTACGGGCAGGAGCTTAGCGTTGAGGGTCGGTTTCGCATGTTGCGGCAGACACCATCACCTTCCGCAGATAACTTAGAGCCCACTTGCATGCACGAGACTTGTTGCGCACAACTTTGATTGCCTCTACCGGGCAAAGCCTTTGCTGTACTGACTGCTAGACGTCAGTAGGTCGTTGTTGTGCTTATCACTTGCCTACATGAGCCCTGAGCCTTCACGCACCGCCACGTCCGTTCCTGGATTTATTGCACTGAGGCATCCGGAAGGGCGACGCAGCGAGTGTGCAAGAAGGGCTCGGTCACTGCGGTTTGGACCCTCTTGCACCCATCGAGGTACACGTCACTGCGGCTTTTCGAGCCTGTCGCAGACAAGCGAGTCATGGGACGATCAGCATGGACGTGATCACGTTGCTTGCAGTGCGGCTCCCGTGCCTTCATTGTGGCAGTTTACAGCCTTTGATCTGGTTGGGCATCGCAAGCGCTCAGAGCCCCTCGTGTTGGCCGTGCTGTCGCCGCAGTGATCCTAGCTCTGCATCCCAGCTTCGATACGGAGCCTTGCTTTGCAGGCTTTGCAACTGCACGTCAAGTGATCTCGCATCACTTTCACCAGTTCCTGTCCAGCAGCTTGCGTATAGGACCCAACCTTGCGGATCAGGGCAGCCGTAGTCCAGCCAAGGTTCATAATGGGGTACCATTAGGTGTTTCTTTTGGTGTTGGTTCGGTGTTGTATTAACCCCAAAGTGCTTCAAGACATTCTGCAAAACACGAAGGACAACCAAGAACAGCTAACTAGGAAACTGAAGTCAAGATGCTTCTTAAATCAACACGCGCCACGGCATATGTATCAAGCTATTCACAGAACTTCAGAATTTCAGCACTGGAGCCTCTTCGCTGCTCTACTCGTGGACCATGCAGCAAAACGTTACCTAAAACAGGACTACTAATCGGTCATTGAGAAAGTGTGGCATTTCGGGATGTCGTAGCCTTTGCGAACGGGGTGCCACGAAAGCCGAGTTCTTCAAGGGAAGGCCCCCCTATAGAAGGGCTTCGAGGGGCCGAATTTCCCCCGAGCAGCTGAGTCCTGGGGCGTGTGATGCACGTCTGGTGCACCTGCAACTCGCGCCCCAGGAGCTCCGCGGGCTCCGCGGGCTCCGCAGCTCGCTCGCGGGTGTCGTCGCGCCGTCCGCTGGGGTTCTCGGCTTAGCCATCTACTCCGTGCCGCGCGGGCGCCCTCGGCCCTTGGGCCCAAGGCTCCGGCCACTTGGGCCCAATGCTCGAACCTTTCGGAGGAAGTGGTGTCCACTTCGAGCTGGTGACCCAGTTTGCTTCTTCTCCTGTGTCTGTCTTCTTTTTTAGCGTGTGCCGTATTGTGCCGTCACAAAATGATGCAAGCAAGCTGTTCCCCTTTGCAGTGTCACGTCCCCTTCGTCTGTGAGCGAGCTCTCTTCGAGCTCCAAGCCTTCTACCAGCGCACCGTCTTTCCATAAACCCTAAACCCTAAAGCATCCTAAAGCCCTAAGGCCCTAAACCCTGAACTATCGAAAGCCCAAACCCTGCAGGCCGCTATGCCAGCTATGCCGGCCACGAAGCGCCCAGACTGTGTTCAAGCTCTTTTCAGGAGTGCGGCTCCTTATGCCACGTGCTGTGTGAGTGTGCAGGCAGACACCAGCTGATAACGGTTCGCAATGTGCACACATTGCCGACCAACCGAGCTGTCACCCAATTCAGCTTGGAATGACAGCGCTCTTGCACACTCCCTGCGACATTCTGAGCTCTGCTTTTGTCGACTGGTTTGATCTGTGTCCTCACAATCACAACGTCTTCGAGACGTCACATGTCGGACCGTACCAGCTAATGCCGGGTTTCAGGCTAAGCAGGTGCAAACCGCACAAGGAGCCGGTCTGTGAACCACGCGCCTCCTGTGAGGCACGCGCCTCCAGCCATCACCATCAGGTGCTTCTTTTGGTGTCTCTTAGGCTTCGATTCTTTGGAATCGCTGGTGGTCTGTTTAATGGAGGGTGTCTGTCCTTGCGTTTTCTGGCCTCAAGAATCGTGACATTAATCTCGAGACCTATTCGGTCCTTCGAACTTTGAAGCCCAGATCGGCACTTTACTGTCGTTTGGATGCTTCGGGACGGTTCCGGACGGTTTGGGGCTGTTTCTGAACAGGGTTCTAACAGTTTCTGAGACTTGCATGATGGTTCCAGAGCCCCTGCTGGCGCTCACACATAAACAACCTGCCGGGCATTTCGAGGCACTCTGCAAAACAAAGCTACCAAGTGTATTGTCAAGCCATGGCAGCTCGCTCGATCCTTCGATGGTGTGTCCGCAATCCAGGTGCCGAGAGTGTCGAGCTGAACACGCTTCGCAATGTGCGCTAATTGCCGACCAACAGCCATTCGCGCTTCGCTCTGCTTTTGTCGACTGGTTTGATCTGTGTCCTCGCACGGGTTTCAGGGTAAGCAGGTGCAAACCGCACGAGTGAACCACGCGCCTCCGGTATCCCTCTGTGAGGCGCACGCCTCCGGCCATCGCCATCAGGTGCTTCTTTTGGGGTCTTTTGGGCTTCGTAGGAAACCCGAAGTACTTCGAGGCATTCTGCAAAACAAAGCCACCAAGTGTATTGTCAAGCCATGGCAGCTCGCTCGATCCTTCGATGGTGTGTCCGCAATCCAGGTGCCGAGAGTGTCGAGCTGAACACGCTTCGCAATGTGCGCTAATTGCCGACCAACAGCCATTCGCGCTTCGCTCTGCTTTTGTCGACTGGTTTGATCTGTGTCCTCGCACGGGTTTCAGGGTAAGCAGGTGCAAACCGCACGAGTGAACCACGCGCCTCCGGTATCCCTCTGTGAGGCGCACGACTCCAGCCATCAGGTCAGGGCTTCAGGATTTTATCCCAGTTGAGTGGCTAAGCAAAAAGTCCCGCCTTTCGACCATCTTCTGCAACGGGGTCAGGCCCCGGGACTTTATCCAAATGAATTCCTTATGTTCGTGTAGCTCCCGTCCTTTCATCACACATGTAAAGCCAACTGCAGGTGATGCCAAAGGTGCCGGAGGACTTTGCCCCTTTGCGGCGTGCCGATGCAGAATTTCCGCCGTCTCACCGCTTCCAAAACGGGCCCTGATGTCTTGGCTGTAGTTTCCGGTTTTTCCTGCTGATTCCTCCAGCCCACGGGACTTCTGAACGTTTAACCCTCGCTCCGAATCAACGTGCATCGCAAGCTTGCCAGCCATCCCCACCCCACACCTAATTAGCCCCTCTGCCCGGAAGCCCAGCGTGTCTTCAAAAAACGTGCTGATGGCTCCAAAGCAATAGGACTGCCCTCCAAAGCAAAGTTGGAAGTGTTGGGGCCAGCAAAGAGGCGGCCTGGACGTGATTATGTTACGTGCAGAAGCGCTCTCGTGGCTGGCAGTTTATAGGCTTGAACTGGATGGGCATGGAATCCTGGAAGGCGTTCAGAGCACGAGGTTGGCCATCCCGTCGCAGCAGTGCTCCTACGTCTGCATCCGGGCGGCAATCCACAGCTGTGCTTACCCGCGGCCCGAGTGGACGTGCAAAGCTTGTAGAGGGTGCCTCAGCTTCCATACCATCCCTTGCCAGACTGCCACATGCCAGGACTGGCGAACCCTGTTATAACCCTGTTTGGTCAGCCCTTCTACGCTAAGTCTTAAACCGCAGCCTCAACTGGTTCTTCCAGGGCCTCCTTACGGGACCCCAACAGGAGGGTTCAGGTGGACGTAGCTTTACGTCCTTGCACCTAGTCGAGTTGGCAGGACGCATTTTCCTACACTTACCAGTCTGCGTCTCCAGCGCAAGTTAAACGGGGTTCTTCGTGTCTTGCCGTGTACGAAGTAGCTGCAGAGTGTGGACCCAAGTATGGGATGCCGCAATTAGCGCCTTCGTGTCTTGTGGGGGTTTGGCAATTGTATGTTACATTTGCTCCCCCCTTGCTCAGCATGGGAGGTAGCCTTGGCCTCAAGCAGTCCGAACCTGGGCCGAGAGGGAGACGGATGCCCTTTCCTTACAAGTAATTATTGGGGACTGTTATGGGATACGAAATTGTATTCCTGAAGCTCCATAAAGAGGGAGGTGGGCACCTGGATGAAAGTGGTGCACCAATCCTTAGGTTTCGGTGGTGGGGCAATGTTGCGGGGCCCAGACGGTCTTTGGATCCAGACGCGAACCTGCAACTAATTGATATGCCCCTTTCCAGGCCGACATGCATGACAACCTTGCCAGCCATCCCGATCCCACACCTAGCCCCTCTGCCCGCTTTCAGCAGCCAAGCCCAGCGTGTCTTCAACAAACGTTACATTTGCTCCCCCCTTGCTCAGCATGGGAGGTAGCCTTGGCCTCAAGCAGTCCGAACCTGGGCCAAGATGCAGACGGATGCCCTTTCCTTACAAGTGATTATTGGGGACTGTTATGGGATCCGAAATTGTATTCCTGAAGCTCCATAAAGAAGGAAGTGGGCACCTGGATGAAAGTGGTGCACCAATCCTTAGGTTTCGGTGGTGGGGCAATGTTGCGGGGCCCAGACGGTCTTTGGATCAAGACACGAACCTGCAACTAATTGATATGCCCTTTCCAGGCCGACATGCATGACAACCTTGCCAGCCATCCCGATCCCACACCTAGCCCCTCTGCCAGCCCCTCTGCCGGCTTGCAGCAGCCAAGCCCAGCGTGTCTTCAACAAACGTGCTGATGGCTCCAAAGGAACAGGATTTCATTTGTCGGCATAGGCGACTGCCCTCCAAAGCAAGGTTGGAAATGTTGGGGCCAGCGAAGAGGCGGCCTGGACATGATTATGTTGCTTGCAGAAACGCTCCCGTGGCTGGGAGTCTAGAGGCCTGAACTGGATGGGCATGGAAGGCGTTCAGAGGACCTCGCCCGAGTGGATGTGCAAAGCTTGTACACTGCCACCATGCAGGGTGAAGGACTGGCGACGGAACACCTTCCGAGCCCCGTTTGGCGCCAGCCCGTCTACACGCTTAAGTCTTAAACCGTGCTCTAAACCAACTGGTTCTTCCAGGGCCTCCTTCAGGGACCCAGGAGGGTTCAGGTGGACGTAGCTTTACGTCCTTGCATCTAGTCGAGTTGGCAGGACACGTTTTCCTACACTTGCCAGTTTGCGTCTCCAGCGCAAGTTAAACGGGGGTCTTCGTGTCTTGCCGCGTACGAAGTAGCTGCAGACTGTGGACCCAAGTTTGGATCAACACACGAATCCGCAACTCATTGATATTGTGAACGCTGAAAAATTACGTTGAGGAGCGCTCGGCACACTGGACAACAACTCTATAGTGCAAGTCAGCCCATTTCCAGGCCGACATGCATAAACATCCCCTGCCTAAACCAACTGGTTCTTCCAGGGCCTCCTTAAGGGACCCCTTCAGGAGGGTTCAGGTGGACATAGCCTTGGCCTCAAGCATGTCGAACCAAGGACGATTTGGGAGAGGCCCCTTACAAGCGAGTAGAATCCAGGATTCTTCCAGGGCCTCCTTAAGGGACCCCTTCAGGAGGGTTCAGGTGGACATAGCCTTGGCCTCAAGCATGTCGAACCAATGCCGAGTTGCGAGAGGGATGCAGGATCTTCTTCCTGAAGCTTCCCAGACAAAAGGACTCCTCGATGAAAGGGGGTGTTGCAATCCTTTGAGCCATGTCGTGGTCTTCAGGTGCGAAGTTCGACTGGCCGTGGAGGTGAGCCCTTGGCAGCCGTGGGACATCAGCCACCGTGTAGGTTTGGCATCTCGCAGGCGACCCCAGGCGAGGCCGAGAAGGAGCAAGAGGAAAATCAGGCGACCCATCAGCCGGGAGTGCCAGCCTTGCAGCGCCATGCAGCGCCTGGCGAGTCTCTTCCGACTGTCCTCTCGAACGTTCCTTCCAACTTCAAGCATGAACTTCCCAAGGGAGCGAACCTCGTGGCCGTGCTCCGCCTCAGCGTCTTGCCCTTCTTGATGGCAGCACGGCCGGGCCATGGGCGCAGCTTCGAAAAAGTTTAGATAAAGTTTAGGGTTGTTGAGGGGTGAGGGGTTCTTCTTAGCGTGCAGCGGGCCTGGGCGCCCCAGGACCGGCTGCCCGATGCATTTTTTTCGGCACGCTGTTCGTCATGTGACGACGATGCCCATTGCCTGTTGTGTGAACCTTTGCCAACGTAGCCGTCGTGCCTGCGCTGGAAAACCATGCGTTGGAAAGGCGTTAACAGATTGCTAGGGATGACGCCTCGGATGAAGAGGTTTGCGAGTTTTGCAGGGTTCCGGGTTTGGTGCTTTGAGGTGTAGGCTTGCTTTTGGGCTTTGAGGTTTGGAGGCTTTGAAGCTTGAAGCCTCAGGGTTCCGGACTCCCAGCCAATAGAAAGATCGCAGCTGCAGCAAGTACCGCAGTACCGCAACAGCATGCTACTCACACCACTTCCTGTTATTCGTGTTGTGTTTTGAACAGAGCATCCGTATTTACATCATAACGACGTTCTGGTTCTGACGGTTGCTCACGATCCGCATTACTCCTGATTTCTTTTATAGCATTGCGAGAGTAACGGCAACATGGACTGCAAGTGCAGGTACCGCTGCAACACCCTACTCCTGCCACCACCTCCTGTTATTCATAGCATGTTTGAAGTGATCATCCATAATTTTAACATCGCGATGACGTTCCGGATCTGACGGTTGCTGTTGTGACGATCCGCATTTGGCTTAAACAACAACAGCAACCCGAATGACAGCTGTCTGTTCAGATCTTATCTTGTTGCTAGCAGTGTGAGTTCGACAGTAGTGGCAAACAGATCCGTTTATCACTACTGTTGCGAATAACATGTTCGGGAGCATGACCTAGGTTTTAACCCAGGCTTGAACCTGGGTTCGAATCTGGGTTCCTGGGTTCATAGCCTGGCTATGAACCAGTTGAACCACCCACCCTGAATTTCATCGTCACGAGCGACCCCAGACAGCTCGTGGATTGTGCGTAACGCAGACGGCTGTCATGTTCCAGAATGTAAGACAATGTAAGAGTTCTCCTGGAATCCATCACTCTTCATGATGCCCTGATGGCCTCTGCGGCTGGAGGCGTGATCCCCAGTATTCATGTGCTATGTGTTTCCTTTGAACATACGCGGCGACAGGTTTAGGGCAGTTTGGACTGGTGTAACGAGGTTTGGCGCTGCAGCCGACAGCTGATATATCTCTTGGAGGGTTTAAGAAAATTGGGTTGGTTGTGGATGTCAAGGGGTGGAGGGAGTTGGGTTGGTTGAAACAGAGGGAACGACATTCAACGTTCATGAAGTCGTCCAACTTATTTGCAATCATTCTCTTGAATGCCAACACTTCTCGTGGTGGACTGATTTGAGCACCTTGAACCGCGAAGCTCCGGCCCAGCATCAGTCTCTGCACTTGCTTGGGGTTGTCTCAGGAAAACTGATGGCAGCGGCTTTAGCAATGTAGCTCGTCGCGAAACTGTTAGCATGGGCAGTGTTGGGATTGTCCAACGTATTGTTTTGCAACAAGAGTTTGTAGCACCCGAAGCGGCCTTAAGCAGATGTATGAAAGATGCTGTTCATGACGAACTGGGATGTTATCTGAACGGTCGGGGTGGTGCTCTTGGGTATTAGTGCAACGTAGTGTAGTGGTGGCAGCAGCAGCAGCACCAGTAAATTCTATCGCATTGGTATAATACCCGGCGTGCTGTAAAAGCCTCATAAGCAGCAGAGGCAACAGCAACAGCGGGCTCCATCCGAGAACCACAAACTCCCCTAAACCCCAAACCTTAAATCCTAATCCCTAAACCTTAAACCGAACCCTAAACGCGAGGCATCCGGAAGCTGGTGCAGGATCGAATCGTCCCCGGAAGCTGGCAGCTGGCCTTTGAGACTGATCCGAAAGCTGCTCGGACTTTGACCCCCGAGACGCCCAGATCTAGATCCCATGGTCAAATTCTGTGAAAATCGAGTTTGTCAGGACCTCAGTATAAAACATTTGCAACAGGAGTCTTGGAGTGTCGTTGGGTATCGTAAATATCTTGAGCTGGAAGCGGGCATGGTCAGGAAGTTGATCGACCTGTAGGTTTGCATTTTGAAGCGTGTCGACTGTTCTTCTTATTATCGACATTCTTCTTTGGTACTCTTGTTGTTATTAACGATCAGTAGTCTTGTTCTTATCCTTAGATTTGGTCCTAGTTTATTAGTCTTCCACAATCTTTCTCGTTTAAAGTATCATGGATATGGCTATCTGTATTCTGCTTAAAGCTAGTTGAAGATAGCGGTAACAGCTACGATCGTTGAGTTACAATGCTGCAGAACCATGTATGCAGATAGAGGTTTATGTCGGCTAGGAGCCACGGGATGGCGATTCTCGTGCTTCACTCCCAAACTCTCAACAACAAACGAGAACCCCTAATCCCTAAGACCTTGGGCTGTTTGTCACAAGGGAAAAGCTCCAGAAGAACACCATTCACTTGCTGGAGAACGTCCTTCCTCGCTTTGGGGTCTGGGTGTTGTTGCAAAAGGCACGACTTGCTTGTGCATGCAGCCAGGTGCTGCTGAGAAGCTTTTGGTTGTGAACGGCTGGAGACTTTTTGCCGCCTGTTTGGCAAGGCGGCTGCACTCTCGGACTGGCATGCCTTTGCCGCACTTGAACATTGCCGAGAGGGAGAAAGGTTCAAGACGGTCACAGCCTTGCGGCATCTTCACGGCCAGAACTTTTGGGGGCGGCCACTGCATCAGCCGGCTGTAACTTTCAATGAAGCATGCAAAACCCAACGATATCGTTGCAGGTTGTGTGCCGCACCTGCTGCATACTCTACACGTGGACGACAGCCATGAGCACGCAGTGGATTTACGCAGAAACTGAGGTCAAAAGCAAGTCGTTCAAGTGTTTGGCAACCACGCAGAAAATGACGAACGGCTTTCTCCGTTGCCTGCACCGCAGCGTTCAGGCATCGTAACGGCCTCTGCCCGCGTGTATCCTGTGCGAATCCTGAGAATCAACACAGAGATCTCTAAACCACAACGTAGTGACAGTCGGAGTTGATGCGTTTACTTCCAGCCACACTGCCTCCATGAGTGACGAGTTTGGCCAGTCTTTCCAGAAATGCCGTTCGCGGTCTCCAAACCTACAGGCACAAGTGGACCGCCGTATGACGCTCTGTTCGGAAACAACTAATGCCTGCCAGCTGCCTGCCGCAGCCCTGTCACCTGCTGCGCCGCACCAAATTCAAAATCGCATTTGCAGATACACGGGCTGCAGGCTTGGAATCCTTGAAAACACGGCCTGCAGGCTTGGAATCCTTGGAAATGCACCACCAATACTTCGCTCCACTGCATGGGCGTCGGGGAATCTCCGGGTGGTGTTCGGCCCAGACAGGTTGGAACGGCTTCTCGCCCAATCCACTAGCTCGGCCGTTTTGATGGAATCCAGTCTGTGAGCCACAGCTGGTGGGGGTCTGCAGCATTGTGGGTTGTGTGTAGAGGCATCACATTGTGAGGGTCCTCAAAAGTGAATACTACGTGCCTCCAGGCATTTGCCTTGGTTTCGCTGCTCAGTGCAGCATAGAGAGCTTGGTCAATGCTTGAGTAAGGTCTGAGCACAGAGCAGCCCGGCATTGTCAGATGCTCAACGCCTGCAGCTTTGTTGAATGCTGGGTTCCGGGGTGCTGCGGGGCGGCCCAGAGGCACGCTTTTGTTTGAGATGGAGGCAGTCGGCGACAACGCTGTGGTCTTGGTGCCAGCAAGTACAGCACGTGTCCTTGGGCCTTGTAGGTTCTCTTTGGAGTTCGGGTCTTCAGCACGAACAGCTCAAAATGTTTCAGTTTCAGAATTAGCGTGGGGCCACCACCCAGCAGGCAAGAAGAAGGTCCAGACATCAGGCATGCAAGCGCATTTCTTGCATCTTGTGTCCGCAGCATGGCTTGTGGTTTACCACGAGACATATTCTGTTGAGATTCTGGGATCCGTGCAAGGTGACATAAACGGCTTGCAGGTTACCGCTCCACAAGCGCGACGTGTGGTTTCATCTATGGAGACGCCTGCTGTTCGTTTTGATGACGATGCTGTGTGCACAATTCATTTCGATGGCCTCGCAGCACCTGGGCAAGTCCGGAATTCAGCGGAGCAGAAGTGGAAGACGGCTGGAGGCTGCTTCTCAATCACTGAAGCGAGAAGCCTAAAGCCCTCGGCATCCAAAGCGCCTTGGAGCTGCTGTTCGCCAAGAGCGGCTCGAGGTTTGAGGCTGAGGAGACTTGCCTGCGCATCCCTGCGCCAAAGTCGTAGACGCTGGAACTCGGATGTGTTGTGTCTGAGATGTGGCCTCCTTGCGAAGCCCTAGAACACGGAGCAGCTTTGAATTCAGTCAGTCGATAGCCGGGCATTTCGGCAGGTGCCCGTCAGACTGGGTGTTGCTCTTGACATGACATGGGGTGCGCGGTTCAGCAGCGGAAAGGTGTCTGCCAGCTAGACTGCTGGCCCTGCGGGACCCTGTTAGGCTGAGCTCTGGGCTCTGCGGCCTCGTCAACTCCTCGAGGTGTGCTTTTCAACGGCAGCGGTGCGTCGTTGCGAGTTGTCTGAAGGCAAAGAAGGAGTTTCCGGTGTGGTTTGCCCACGTGACTGGCCTTATGGCTTCCTGTCTTCGATGATTTGGAAGTCGTGCTTGGCGCACGGAGCTTCCGTCGTTTCTCCGCTGAGCGCTTCCCACATCTGAAGAGCGCAATGAGGAAATCTTCGAGACTCCGATCTCTGATGAAGTTTTCGGAGCAGCCGGCGCGGTGCTCTGCTCCCAGGGGTGCGGCCGAAGACTCCGCTTTCTTCCTCCGAGCGTTCGGCGGAGGCCCTCGGCCATCCCGCTGTCCTATGCGAGTTAGGACTTCGCTTGCGAGGCGAAGCGAGCTTTTGCCATGGGCGATCGGTGTTTTTTGAGTGCAAACGCGGGGGTGTTAGGTCCTTAGGTTGCAAGGCCTCGAAGACTCTCGAGACGGCACAGGGCGTCTCTGCATG